GCCTCATTTTCTTCTTTGATGACTACTGGAAATGTAGTGTTTTCTTTCTTTCCTTCAAAATCAATTTCTATACCACTTACAACCGAATCAGGAAAAGATAGACAACCCAATAGAAAAATGGGCAAGATACTTGAACAAGCATTTCATATAAGAGATCCAGAAAGCCAATAAATACTTGAAAGATTCTCAACCCTATCAATAATCAGAGAATTGCAAACTAAAACTCCCATATGCTACCTCTACAAACTAATCAGAATAGCTAAAATTATAGACTGACAATAGTAACTATTGGTAAGGATGAAATGCAAAAGAAAGTCTCATATACGGTGATAAGAGTATAAGCTGAATTGATATGACACTTTTAGAAAACTGGCATTATTGATTAGAGATGAATATACATATACCTGATGAGACAGAAATTCTGCTTTGGATTGGAGCTGTTCATTACTACTTTCATTGATTTAATTGAGAGTTCTATGAGAATTTGACTTGGTAGGCACTTACATTTTTTAAGTGAAAGAAAGCTTGCAAAACACTTAAAGAATGGTTTTAGCAATCAAAGTACTTAAATATAAGAATTACATATAAAACCTAAATAAACAAATTTGCCTTGCTTTTCAATGGGAAATAAAAGAAAGCATATATCTGAGCCACTTCATAACTTCGTATTCATTGGGCACAATAGAAAAGGAAGAAACCATTATTTAACAGCAGAATGTGTACCAGTCCATTACATGTTTTATTCTCTTCATTCTCACACTGAATTTATGAGGTGGGAGCCATTACCCCAAATTAGCACTTTAGAAAACAGAGGTGCAAAAAAGTCAAGTGATTTGCCCAAGATTATATAACAATTAAATGACCTCGCCAAGACTTGAACCTCAGACTGTGTGATTCCAAAACCCGTGGTCTTTCTTCTCTATCTTCCCATCTCATATCTATGAAGGTTAATGACACATGCCTGTGTACGAAGGGGACAGGGACTGCTGATTCCTTGCATAACATTTTAAAATGTGATTTTTTATTGGCCTCTCTTTATTTTGGTGCTTAACATTTAATATCTAAATTAAGAAGACATTATCTTTATATCTTTTGTAATGCACCACTTTCACAGTTATCCATCAAACCAGTTGGAAGTCGTGGTTGGAAATTCCTAGAGACTGCTAATAACGGTGCTAAATTTCTTTTCATTAGTTCCATTCATTAGCTTCAATAACTGAATATATTAACTAGACCTCACACATATATTAATCCCATAACTTATTAATGTTCAGAATAAAATTCAATTGTCACATTTTTAAATACATGACTTGATTACTGAATGAAACAGGACTGTTATTTAAGGATTTAAAATATAAATTGTGAGTGTTGGATGTTGCCCTTCTGATATTTTTTTCAAGCAAATAAAAACTAAAAACACTTTTTACAAACAGTTATACACAGAAACACAACTTCAGAATGGAAAACTGTTTAAGGGCAATTTAGTAGTGTGTAGGGGGAAAAAAGCCCTCTTGTTATAGGCAGTATAAAAATTTCCCAAGATTCTTAGGAATAAAATGGCCTTCTTAAAGTAACTTGTGGAAAACTTGATCTACTGATAAAATTTAAATCTACATTTCTCCATCTTTAGATACCTAGGGTTAAGTGAGAGCTGATTTATAGTTAGAATGAGTTATACTATGACAAAATACCAAATTGAGTTTCTAACAGTCCTAACACGTAGTTCCTATCCTAAGTATTTTGTCTGCCATCCTACGTATTTTGACCAAGCAGTTGAAGTACCAATGACATCACCTGCAGGAAGCTTGCCTGTCCTGCTGACTGGAGGCAAACACCAAGAGAGAGCAGCTGTTAGTAAGGAGGTGAGACCACAGAAGTGGCAAAAAGTGATTTAAATAGAGATGCCCAAAGCAAAAAAAAGACTACCATTTTTTTTTTTTAAATGTAAGGCTTATTCTTTTCTTAACTCTTAACATAATCTTACACAGACACAAACAAAGGTACTTCCCTAGATGCGCAGTTAGAACCTTCTTCAGCCGGGTGATGGTCAGGGTGAGGTGGGAAGGAGGAAAGGATGCCTACCTTTGCTTGTCCAGCTTTGGTGATGGCAGGTATATTAAAGAACTGCCCAGTATAAAAATGCAGCCCACTGAACAGGATCACTGCAATTGAGTCTCCTTCCTTCTCAATTACTTCAAGGATATCCTCCATTCTTAAGGTTTCTTCCCCCTAAGTCAAGTTAGGCACAAGTTATGTCATATCAACAATAATACTTTTGCCACTTCATATTCACCCATCTAAATTTCACCATGAACTCTTTTCCATCATGAGAAAAATCAAAAATTATTTTCA